AGGAGACAAGCAGAGAAAACTGCTGATTGAATGTGAATATCAGTAAATAGGATGGTTAAGACACTTTTTATATGTGGCATCCAAGTAACTTGCTCTTCAGGTAGAAAGTGAGCCTTAGATTGGTGCCAGGCAAACTACCAGCTGTCTCAAGAAAGAAACTATTATTTGTGGCTTTTGTCATATGTCTAGCAGGTTCTGATAACCATGTTACTTTTAAAATTTTCATACTTTCTCTTTACTTTTTAATTAGCATACTTTGTTACAAAGTAACTTTTTTCAATCTACACAGTGAGAGGAATATTAATAACTAATTCTGATTCCTTTAAGGATATTATACAATTTGACATAACAATTTAACTGAAAATGTGAAAGGAAAAAAAAAAAACAATCAACACTTTTCTACGTATATTGCTTTTTTGTTTTCTGTCTGTGGGTCTCCAGTAGTTATTGAATAACTGCTAAGCCTTATTGGCCTGAGGAGGACTTATTTTTTATTTATATCTAATATATTAGTGTTGTACCATGTGTTTCGTAGCAGAAAACTGCTTGAGAGTGAGTGGGACGAAGGGAGGCAGATTTTTTTTTTTTTCCACATTTAAATATAGCTAACAAATACTGAAATATTTATGGTTTGGCTCTAGATGAGGCGGGAATAATTCTTCACTCTCTTTCCTTACAGGGTATAAAAATGGTAGCCAGTTCAGAGAAAAGAAATTTTCTTCTCTAATTACCATTTACTGCCATTTTCGGTTTCAGCTTGGCTCTAGTCCTATGTGCTGTAGTTCAGTCTATGTATTTTTTTTCTAGTTTAACTGATGAATGTAGAATTTTTATCGCAAAAATACAGAGATCATGACTTGAATTTCTTCCGAATCATGAAATTTTTATTCCGCAGGGCAGAGGGAGCGAAACATCATAGGAATTAGAATGTGATCATAGGAACTAGCAACACTGCAGAATTCTTGTTCTGATTTAGTCATTCTTACTGACACAAACTAAACTAGTCAGACCTTTCCAATTCTTCTATCATTCATCAAGAAAAGGGGATATAACCTCTTCTCCTAATAAGGGATCTTTTCTCAGAGGATTCTTTTTGTTGCACAGCAAAATTTCATTTGCCTTTTTTTTTTTTTTTTTTTTTTTTTTTTCTTCTCAGGAATTTCAATTTTTGAAAATGTTACTTGGGACGGTTTCCGTTAGCATGAGAGATTTCCTATTCTCAGAGCTGGCCTCTATTTTATAGCTAATATTGCCTTTAAAAGGGACAAATAGAAAAGCCTTATGCCAAAGCCTTAGAGGCTAGCCTGGTTTTGTGCAGAGAGGAGAATGAAATTTCCTTTTGTACAGGTGAAGAAAGGACATTTTCTTATAGCATAGCCAATTTCAATTGAATATAACAGGAGCAGTGTGAAGTTTACCTGGGAAGGAGCTTTAACAGACCCTAGAAGGCAAAGGGTGTTTCTCCTTTACAGCGTTCAGAAATATTTCACTCTTGCAAGTATGCAAGAGTTTTAGGGAATTTACTAGACTCCATTGCATTGAAAACCCATCATTCTTGGAAAATGAAACACATAAAACCACTGAACATTCGGCTAATACTAATAGGCCTGACCTTAGGTCTAGAAGTAAAGACTTGAATTTTTCAGTTTAAATTGATTCCTGAATTTTCATTTAAAGCATTTAAAGCATAGTTTTTTGAGATCCTAGCTACACCATTACTTTCTTTTTTTTCCACAAAAAAAATTTATATATATATATATATTTATTTTTTTTTATTAATATGCTAATATGTGTAGCTTATCCCTTCCTATGTGTTGTGTTGTTTTGGTCATTTGGTTTTCCACTAAAGTTGTTAATCAAAATGTTGGCCAGTAGGTCACCCTGATTGGGAGTTTTGTGCTCTTTAGCAAAAGTTTGTCATTAAAGGGACTTTTATGTAGAAGAATAGAACTTTACTTAAACTTGGGTTTAAGCTTCAAGGCGTTAGCTATGAAAAAACAGATTTAATGAGCACTTTTGGCTTTCCTTAGCAGAGTGCAAGTGTGATATGCCTAAAATTCAGAAGAAAATAAAAACATACTGAGCTTGTTGCTGAAAGAGGAAGAAAAAAACCCTAGCTGTTGGCAATATAAACTGGATGTCATAATCTAAGAGTCACGTTTTTCATAGGACAGTGGTGAAACTATTGCAAAATAAACAAAACAGGGAAGAGAACAGAGCAGTAATGACAAACTGGAATGTGTGAGGGAGCAGAATTGATGGCATTAGCAAACCTGACTCTACTCTGTGAGCGATACGTCTTATGGACTTACGGGAAATACTTGTAAGTCCGAACACTGTCAGTGTTTTTGTTTTAAGATGAAAAAGAGAAGGGAAGAAATAAAAAGGTACTGCAGTCACCCAGCTTGGCAAACAGGTCTTAAATTTCTCAGGAAGGCTGAAGAAGTTGCACTGTATCTCTTCATCATCTTGTTCTTGGTCACTGAGGCAGAGGTGAGAGCAGGACAAAATATCTCTTAGTTCTTTTTATCTTAATTATTATTCCCTGTGAAGGAGTAAAACACTGTGGCTGAAGAGGAATCTTTCTAGTTTTATTACTTACCATTTTTCATAAATCACTTAGAGTACATAATTTCCTAAGAGAAGAAAAAAGCACATTATCACACTTAACACTAAAAGTGCATCAGTTTTAAGGATGATTAATTAAATGCAGCTGATAGGTTTGCCGTAAGACTGCAGTTCCTGATACAGCACATTCTATGAAAAGCTATGTAAGGAATGGTAGAAGAAGGAAGTTTAAGCAGAAGGCAGATTTTGAAATTTTCTCCCAGAGAACATGGCTAATCATCAGGTCTTGTTTGCTCTTAAGTATGTACAAGTATTGCATACACATGTAAACTTTATATATATATATATATATATATATATATATAATAGGTAGACTATTATTTGATCCTAGCTATCATAGCTAGTCAGTGCTAATGCTGACAACATGTTCTAATAAACACCAGTGAGCCCAAACACGTTTATTTTGTGGATGTAAGTGGCAACATGTAAACATTAAAGTAAAAATGTGCCTTTGAATAAGTGTGGTTCCTGATGCATTTCTGAAGTTCTGAGCTAGAAGAGCTGTTTGTGATAAAATTACTGCATATTTTCTGTTTTGACTAGTGTTAGAAGTGTTGTTTTCACCTTTATGTTAGTAGTATGGTAATAATAGAATAGTTATCTTTTGAGAAAACAACAAGTGCCTGTTTAGTCTGAGCAAAGCATTTAGCCAGTTGCATATACTCAGTGAGGGCCACAGAAAGGACACAATTTCCTGAATGTAACCACAGAGTTCAAATATTGTGCCCTAAATAACACACCAGTTACTGTAAATGTCAGTACAGGGAGTTTTTCTGACTTTGATTTAGTAAGAGCCTACAGCAAAGCCAGCTGTTAACACTTCTTAACCGCTTGTCATTTTGAAGGGGGGAGCATCATTTCTACACACTTTTGTCTTTTGATTAAAAGAAGGAAACAATTTTTCAAGCACTTCCCAACAGGTGCAGAACAAAAGCATTACCTCTATTTGACTCTTACTGTGCTCCTTTTATTTGTGTTCCTGCTGAATTTGCTAGTTCTTCTTGGTAGGAAAAAGCTGAGGCCTGCCTTGGAAACACATCATCTAATTTTAAAGAAATTCATTTTAAGTTATTTGAGAAGCCCTTCAAGTGTGAGTTTGCCTTGTAGACAAAGAGTGTATGTTCATATGTTTTTATGTCTTTATGTAAATGATTTCAGCTATTTTTCAGTAAAATGTAGTAAAAAAATTAAAATGGATGAAATAGCCATAAACAAAACAAACATCTTATTGGCCCAATCATCTTTCACAAATCCAGACAGCTTCCAATAATTTCAGTTTTCTATAAAAAGCAACTGTTGTGCCACTGTTTCTAGCTTTTTATTTGACAAGACTTCACAATGAAATAAAAATAACTTCAGGTGCTTCAGGCAGTGTTTTCAGGTGTTTGTTTTGAAGGTTTTACAAGGCAGAAATAATGTACCCAAAGATGGTCTTTCACAAGCAAAAATTTGGAAACCCAAGTCAAGTGGCTTTGTATGTTTGCCTGTGAATTAGGTATTTTAAAGCAAGTATATATCCTGAAAGGAAGTTTTCACAGCAGCAGTTGTTCCTGGGAAATAGTAGATGATTATGGTAATATTATATGTGTGAGCTTTTGTGTAGTGGTAGGCATGTTGTTTCCTCTTTTTTCTTTCCTCCTCACACAGTAAGTATTCTTCCAAAGAGATATTTTGAATGGTAAAGATGAGGGAGGAGAGAAATAAGGAATAAGCTAATTTGAGAATGTCTGTTAACACAGGGAATCTTATTGTGTCTGAAACAAAATAGGGATTTTATCAACAAAGGCACACATAGTGGAAGAATACAGAGTCTGATTTTGTGGTGGAATTTAATAGATGTATTTAATGGTGCGTATTTTTTCTTTAGTGGAATTATGTCCATGTTTGTATTTTTAACGTTGTCAACTTCAGCATCATTTTGTCAGTTCTCCTTCATTCCTTTTTGATTTGCTTTGAAGTCTGTGTCCTACCATTTCAGGATTTCAGTTTTCTTGTAAGTGATCTTAATTATTCTCAAGTGTAATTTTTCAAAGTAGACACATGCATTACAGCAGAAACCATATTAAACTATCTCTTGAGATAAAGGTGTGAAAAGGTGAAAAGAGATAATGAAACATTGTGAATGTCATTTACTTCACTTCTTTAATGAAAATAATCGAAAAAGGGATTAGAATAAAATCTGCAGTTCTCTCACTGCCTTTGTCTTATCTGGCTACTTTACACATTTGAAATATTTACATGCAGAGACTGAAATGTAGCCAGTTCTTCGAATGAAGGGATGATAAGGGATGTTTGACTGTAGGAAAAAGGATCATATGCATTTTCTTTTTCTCTTACACTTTCATTTCTCTCTCATTTTTCTTCGTTTACAGCTTCTGCGATCCCAGATAATGGAAGGAGATCCTGTCTAAAGCTTAAGGTCTTTGTGCGACCAGCAAGTAAGTTCCTTAGAATAAGCTTTTGAGGGTGGCTTTGTAGCGCATGCTTTACTGTGTGGTCTGGTTAACAGCAGTAAATCTTTTTTTTTTTTTTTTTTTTTTTTACTGTTCAACTTTGTTTATCTGTTCTGTACAGCAGCATTTGTGTTATTATTTTCATGGTATTTCCTTATCATTTTTCATAAAGCTTTGTTTTAATTTCATGGCAATTGCTAACTTGTTGTTTCTTAAACTGTTGTACCAATGGAAGACTGGCATTTGGATAAGTGCCATAGATTATAAAGCATAAATATGCTTAATTATATACAGTAAATATAGAGAAAAAAAAGATAGGAAAAAAAAAACAACAGAAAGTGCAGAGTTTAAGGGTGTCTCACTAACATATTTGGCTGTTATCTCTATTTTTGTTATAGACAGCTGTATGAAAACTATAGGTGTTCATGATCGTGTTTTCGATGTTAACGACAAAGTAGAAAATTCATTAGAACCAGCAGGTTAGTATGCTTAGAGAATCTCTTTTAACAAATGCGTGTGTCCCTCTGGTGCTTGAGTACTCCTTTTCTTCTACTCTTGCATGCTTTGCATGGTATAATTGCTCTGCTTTTGCTTGTTTCTAGCAGTGCTAATATCACATGTGGTATATTTCCTGACTCCTTATCTAATGCAAGGGAGGGAAAGTGTTGCTTTCTTGGTTGATGTAGCTTAGTAAAATATAATGTGTGCCAGAATAAAATTTTCACCAGTATCCTGAAATCTATCCAAACCAAACACCCAGCATGTTGACAGACCACTCATGGTACTAACTGGGCCAAAAGTCTTAAAGCCAGTGGGCATGCTTCATTTGTTTTGTGGTGCCAACAGACTTTCAAAGAACCACTCCTTATTTAATGCTAGTGCATGACTCAGGCATGCAGCTTATAGAGCTAGTGTTTAAGTAAGAAATAAGCCCATTAAAATTATATACATTTGTATATATACTTGTTTAGGGTAAGTATTGTTTTCACATACATAAACATACATACATGCTGTTATATATGAATTCATACCCTTGATATGGATCTGGGGGATTTTATTTTGCTTGAGTTTTTTTGGTTGGTTTGTTTATTTATTTATTTATTTATTTATTTTTCCCTAAAACGCTGCCTTTCATAATAAGAATAATGCTTGCTTTTATAAAGCCCTCTATCTGCCCAGGGCAAAGTTGTGTTATCATTCACGATCAAGCTGTGTGGCTCTGTGTGGGAAGTGCATCTGTATGGTTGTGTGACTCAAGTTTATGACAGATAGGAGCATGTTTAATTCTAGGGGTGTGAATAATCTCATCAACTTCAGTGGGATGGCTCATGACATTAAAATTAGGTGGCTATGTAAGACAAGTATTTACAATAGCGCTTACCTGCTTGGTCTATGTGTAACATGCTGTTCACACGTTGCTATATTCAAGCCTCAATAATTAAAATGAACAGTTAAATAAACAAATTATACCACAAAAAAAAAATACACCCATGATACACAGGTAGTACATTCCCTGAAGATCAGATTACCCAGCATTTTTTTTTTCTCTTATGTTACTGAGAAAGCACTGTCCCTTTCATGTGAACCAACTTAGTGTTTTGTTCTTTATTATTTGCTGATCCTTCACCTAAAAGCTATTCTTTAGGCAAAAGCATTAGTAAGACTTCCAAAAATTATCCAATTTGAATGCTCTACTGTTTTATTATTTTTTCTTAAATGGAATTTTCAGAACTGTTCTAAAAATATTGTTTATGAGGATCAATGATGTTTTCTAAGCAGATCTCTATTCAAGGAAAATACATTTACAGTAGAGATACATTTGCACTTCTGTTAAAAGTACTCACCTTCTATAGGAGGCATTAGGATGATGATGATCATCCCCTGTCTCTAGATAAACTGTGAATCTAGAAACTCAGTGCACTCCTTTGCACTCTGTGATTTGGTGAACATGAGTTAATTCAGTTGTATCCCTTCTGCTGCTGGTTTGCAAAAGAGATCACTTGAGTAATAAATGCATGATAGTAGTGAATATTCTTTTCAGCAGTACTGCTCACTTCCTGTTGAGTGGCTACATCTTGCTAGCAACATCATAGAAACATACCATTAGAAGGCAGCAGATAGGACAGCGAACCATAGTCCAAGTCTGAAGTGAAATACCATTTGTGTTATTTTGGAGAATAATAGCTTTATAGAGAATTTTTCGGTTCTAAACGCTTCAGGTACCAAAAAGTTGCCACTCCTATGCTTGTAGCACTCCTTCCATCAGTTTATTTGAATTGTTATTTGGACCAGTCTCCATCAGATGATCTGCCATTCCCAGATCTTCTGTCTGCTATCATTTCCTGTTACAGCATTGTTAGACTTGCTGAGACACTCCTGCCTTGGTGGATCTCACTGCATGTGATATGTAATGTGTAATGTGTAGTAATTCACCTGCCCCTGGAGCTCACCTTCTACTTGTGTGCTCTCCCCTAACCTGCCACTGTCTACTCCCACAATATACAGGAGAATGGGGAAGCAGAGGGGTCATGTTCAGCAAATTACTCACTGCTGCCAATCTTCTGGGGGAAAAGAAAAAAAAAAAAAGAAAAAAAAAGTGTGATTTTTGAACTTCCACTGGTTTTGTTCAGAAATCAGATTTGTACAGATCACTCTTCTTTCAGAAGTCATTGAAGAAATTGGGCCATGTCTATATTCCCCTCTTGTCCCTTAAACAAAAATTGCAGCTGTGCATATGTGGAAAAATTATACCTGAAGCATGTGATGTAAAGTTATGTGATCTGGAAAATTCATGGCTGTCAAACTAATTTTTTCTAATTACTGCTAGCATTCCCAGTCTTTAGCAATGACCTTCCAGATTTTACTCATCAATTTTGTCATATCTGTGACTTGTCTTCGATGTTCAGAATAAACCCAGTCCTTCCCCTTACGCACTAAAGATTGTGCAGTATTACAGCTCTGCACCCCAAGGAAAATCATTTTTGTAAAGTGATTTTGAGAACCGCAGATAAAATGAGTGCTCTAATATATGAGTGCAAAGAGACTTTGGGACTGCACTGACAGAAAGCCCAAATGATTTCTTGAAAGTAGTCCCTTAATATTACATGAAAATGAATTCTCTTGAGACAAATGGCTTTATAAAAAAGGCATCTTAGAAGATCTCTGTATTTTTAGTTTAATAATTAATCTTTTTAGTTAGCACTTTTGGGTTGATTTTAATTTTTTTAATTTTTTAATTGTTTTTTTAGCTGTAGCCAACGTTCCAGTTGTGCCAGTATACTTCAGAGTTAAAGGAAATTGGGATTTATTGCTCCTTAACACTAGTTCTACCTTATTGCGTTTTAGTACTGACTCATGGATATAATTAGGACAAACTGTTATCATTGTGTGCTGCAAATTCAGACTTTCTTGCAGTTCTATCAATGATGCAGAAAGCAGAAGACAGTTCACATCTTTCCCCTTGTAGTATTAGTTCGTCAGTGATGAGTAGGCTTCCAAACTGAGCAGAGCTGACTCAACGTATATGAAAGGTATAGAGCTGACTGTAGGGCATGGGTACCTTTTGTTGTACCCTCTTAGAGTATGTTTTAATTGAGAAGTATTGTATTTAATTGAGGAGTATTGAGCTCCTGTGAAGTATTGTATTGTCACTGCAGTGCCCCAAGAGTGTACTGAGTGTAACAGGTGAAATACAGAACAGCCTTTGGTTCTGACAACCACCAGAATTAGCGGTTTTAAATGGCCCTTTCTAGACATTTAATTGTCTCTTTCTTGCAAATGTGAACATGTTCACATGATCAGAGCTTGCCTTTCACACTTTTGCCTTAAAAGCACTGAGGAGGTGTTGATAAACCTGATGCAACTGTAGTATCAGTACTGAACCAGATGTGACAGGTTGTTAATCCAGTTTACTGTACATCCCCTAGTGAAACTGGCCTGAGGCTGAAAAGCCTGTTAGTCAAATACTGCAAAGAGCTCTACTTTGCTTCAGTGCTTGGTGTCAAGAATGTGAAAGGAGCTTGTCCCTAACTAGAGCTAAGTAGCATGAGAGGCTCTACAGTAGTGCTGTGTGGTGATCCTGGTGATGTGACTCCCTCTTCCCTTTGTGCCTTTAATTGGGATTGCACAGTGCAATCACCCAGTGTAATCCTGGCAATGCAGTCTGTTGAGATGGGAGCTACAAGACATATATCATAGGTATGTCAACACTTCTCTTAAAATGGGGAAGCTTATTACACTAAGTAGTGAAATACTGTTAATTTTCATGGAAACTTAGGCACCCTAAAATAGCTTGTGAATGCATTTTGAGGCCACTTCTCACTTCCTAAAATGGTTTAGATCATTTGTTCATTTAGTACTAGGAATATTCAAACTCAAAGCTGGCTTTTTATGGCAAGTCTCAGACAGATTAGTCTTAAAATATTTAAATTAGATAACTGTGGATGTGGGGGATTTTGCAAAGAAAAGCAGCACACCTGCTTTATAATAGCCCTGTAATAGCCCTGGAGGTGAATCTGACTTTACTTACATTTTTTATGATACAACTTGTGTCTATAAGGCTGATTCTTAATTGAAAAAAAATTAAACAGATCTTCATTCAGCATCAAACATCAGGTATTTTCCACTATACTCTCTTCTTCCACTAATGAGTAAGCATGTTTTTGCAACTCAGCTGTTTTATTTATTTATTTATTTTTGTTAATTTGATAAGCACATATTCTGTATTTTTTGTCTACCATAAAAAGTATTCTGCCACCTATGAGAGTTTGGGAAGTGTGTTTGAAAATCAGAGACTGTCGTAGTCTTTGGAATTCCATTTCAAGAGAGAGAGATATGTCTCATATCCCCTGCATACCCCAAAACTTCAGTGGAAAGTGGAATAAATGCTTGCACTTTTAGACTGCCATTTGACATTCAGAAGCTGAAATCGGTAACTCAGTAAGGGGATTAACTTTTAAATTAATTCTTATCACATGCAACTCTTTCTCAAGCCCTTCTGAAAATCAGGTGTTTTTATTTAGCTGCCTCGCTATTGACATTGCTATCTAATGAGCCATCCAAAGCTGAAGCTACTGTGTTTTATTAGAGGAGGAATCTTTCATTCCTCAGTCTGCTGCAGTCAGTCTTACTTTCTGCTGCTCTGGTCTTCAGTGGGAGTTTTGCCAGTAAGAAATGCAGGACTTGGCCCCAAGTTGGTTACATAATGAGGTATTACACGGTTGTGAAAGTCAATGACAGCGCAAGGTTCATTGCCCTATTTCATAAAGGCACTGAAATCTACTTACAGTTGTCGGCTCAGTGAGAGTTTATTAAGGATGCAAAATCTCATTGGAATGTATGCTTTCTATTTGAACAGATGATACCGTACATGAGTCAGCCGAGCCATCCCGTGGTGAGAACGCGGCACAGACACCGAGGATACCCATCCAGCTTTTGGCAACTCTATTGTTCCTCCTGGCAATGCTTTTGATATTATAGCACAGTATGCTCCAGCAACCTGTCGCAGAAAATTTCAGGGTCTTGGAACATCAAAGATCCGCCTAACTGCTCATCCCAAGAAAGGGACTTTATTGTTTTTGCAGATGTCAAATCGTTATTTTTCCCTTTTCCCTTTTCTTCTCCCTTTTAGCCTGAACTCAGCAAAAATTTGAAGGGGATAACTAGCTTCAGCACCCATCCCTACCTACCCTGTGACTTTCTGAACCCCTCCATACAAATAAAAGGACTCCAAATGAAAATGCCAAACTATAATAGTGACACTAGTGATTCTTATTTTCCTCTGCATTCTCCTTTAAGAAGTCACCTCTGTTAGCTCACTGTGTCATCCGAATGTAGACAAGGAAGAGTAGTGGCAAATACAGTCAGTGGAGGATAAGCAAACTGAATGAAAGCCTGGGAGAGTTTTTCTCTCCAATACAATATTTATGCCTTCTCATTCAGCACTGTAAGATGATCATGCGGGGCATCGTGTCACCGTGTCAGGACTGGAGGGGAAATATTAATAGCAGGTATAATACCATTTCCTCCGGGAGTTCTAAATGAGCAGGCTTCTGAAAGGGAAAGGTAATGTTTCTTGTAGGATTGTCCTGAAACACCTTTTTTTGCTCACAAGTAGAAACACTGTCTTTGGTGAGAGAAAGAGGTTAGTATTTAGAAATGTTAGCACACAGCAGGCAAGGTCAGATTTAGGAAACTTCACTGGGGGTGTGAGTGCCTCTGTTATTTCGTTTTAAGGGGATAATGCACACCGGGTTATTTTATTTTAAAAGAAATCACCGTGGTGCTAATTTTTTTTTCTTGAAATGCAGAGGCACTTTTGAGAATAAAGTGACCTTCCCCAGCACTGACTTAGTAGCTGAGAACCTTAGATGCTGCTTTGGGTGTTAATACATGCTAATAGAGAACATCAGAGGAATCATTTTTGGAACAAAGGATCTCCAGTGTGCTCTTGATTTGTCTCTCCTGCAAGTTCCTCAGTCATGGGAATAAACCACAAGTAGCAGAAGCCAGGACCACCTAGTAGCATTGTTTGGTGGGGGGAAAGAAAAGAAGTGTGGAATACGAATTCAAATGTTGATTTTTTGTCTTTTCCCCTTCCAGCACAGTTTGAAGAGTAGAGGAAACGTGTTTATCAGCCAGAGATAAACTAGATGGGCTCCCAAAGACTTAACAAAATATTTTTTTAAAAATCCACTAGAATAGAAAATACATTATTTAGATATACTTTATGCTGAGAGTGAGTATATATGCTTGTCCTATTTAAACATGTGAGAAAAGTGGTAACCCTTGGTGCAAGTAGGAAATGATACTGTCTTGTTTGATGGAATAGGAAGTGACTCTGTTTAGGAAATCTTAGCCTTGGCGAAAGTAGAACTTGGAAAAGTCATTTGCCAGGAAGTGTAAGAGTTGGGGTTTTTTTTTTTTTTTTGTCTGAGCTACCATGAAATTTGAACTGCTAAGCATAATCAGGGAAATATCAGGCAAAGACTGAAACAAAACGTTTCTAGACAAAAACTGTGATAATTATGTTAAATGTGAAAGAAAACATGAAATGCATTCAAACTAAACAAGGGGTTTCTATATTCTGAAAAAAACCTCTATCATAACAAAACTGAGTGGTACAAATAATGGACAATATTTTGTAAGCATTTTTTTTTCTTTTCTAATGAAGAAAAACTTTACAAAAGTTGTAAGCAGCCCACTATTCAGTAAAGAAGGAAAAGGGGAAATAAATTTAAGATTTTTAAGATTTTATGCATGCTTAACCACAACCTGAGCTTGCCTGATATTGTGCAACAAGATTGGTGTTGCAGGGCCTTTGCTTACAGTAGTAATGTAGGAAATTTCCGCTACTGTTAAAGGCACAGAATAAAGACATAGAGTCTAAACAGTGAGGTAAGTCACCATCCCATTACAGTCTGGCTGGTACTTCTTGCTCTTTAACTTGGATGTGCTTGTTAAGCACATTCATGCTTCCTTCAGGTAGCAAGTAAAGAGGATGAGGTGAGGTTAATCAAAAATGCGCCTTATCAATTGGATTATTAACTGGAGTACAGGTAATACTGCATGATAGTAATCATATTAAAATGATTCATAGCAATTGCAGGCAGTTATAGCAACAGTGCCAATCTTATGTAGAAATGGTGATTTCATTTTTCATCCTATGTCTCTAAATAATGTCAAAGTTTGAGATGTATGCTTGTTCACAGCAGACTCTTTTCATTTGTACTGTTTCGTGTGGAGTTCAGCCCTTCACGTTATCACAGGGCCCAGCTGGGTGTTGGATGAGGGATAGTGTGAGTGACCCAGCTGCAGAGCAGATCCCTGTGCTGCCAGGGGTGGCCAGAAGACCACAAGACAGTTTGGCACACGGTGGCATCAGGCAATTCCAGTCATAGCAGAACGTGCTAGTGGGTTTTGTGTTGGGAAGCAAATCTCTGGAGGCCTGAATGCAAATGTTGGTGCCAACTGATAAAAGATTTCTGGTCCCTTCCATCTGCCCCTTCTCAAGCCCAAGGGACTGATTCTCCCAGCCTGTGCAGCTTACTTACCCCCGTGACCTGCACTCCTGGCTGCCAAGGCCATTGCAAAGCGAAGCAGGGAAAATAGGGATCAGTCAGTTTAGTGGATACTGTGTATCCTTTAATAGGCAAGGTAACATTTCGTGTTAGTTTAGAATATTGTTTTGTACTGTACTTAACTTGGATGGCGAAGGAAAGACAAGTAAAACTTAAAGCTATGTTCTTTAAATTCTGTATTATTAGCAACCTCTGTTGTATATAGTGTTTGATAATAAAGTATTAATTTGATTCTTATGTCTTTTGTAAGTGAGAACAATAGACTTTCAGGATATAAAAATCATGCGTTGATTACAAGACAGAGCTTTGAAGCATCAAGTGTGATCATGGCTGAGAACTGAGAGACAAGTAGCCATGATACTGCAGCATACAGGACTCATCTTTGGAAATCGTTCATCTATTGCAAGTCTTCACATTGTCAAGACCTGGAAAACATGACTTTTGGTGATCAATGTTTTGTCGTCAGTGTTTTAAGGTCTAATGTTGGAGCCCCATGGTTTTTGTGTTAGTTTTTGTTCTTTTGTATCACATTTGTTTCTAAAATTGCTTTGGGGATATAACAACTCTTCTGTTTGTTTGGGTTTTTGATGTTGTTTGGTTCTTTTTTTTTTTCTTTATTCCTTCTGATTTTGTTTTCACGAATAGGTTTTTGTTTTGTTTTGTTTTGTTTTCCAGAAAGGATCTTGCCAGTGTCATGTGTGATACATACGTACTTGGTTTCAAAACAGCTAGAAACAAATTTGGGAGGTATTGAGAGTAGATGAGTAGGTTGTTTCCTTTCCTATATAATTATGGAAGGAAAATGGTTGCATTTGTACCTGTTGATTCCCACCCCTACCCCTCAAAACTGAATTTTATCCATTGCCTTGTGAGAGCAGTGGCTCTGTCACTTTCAGAGATGTAGGAGAGAGTGTTAACTCTTCCCCTCCTTTCATTATACTTGGATTTTGTAATCACCAGTTTTACTGTACAAACCTCCACACTTCTCTCCCCTTTTACTGCCCTTCCTCCTCTCCCACTCCCCTCCTTTTTTAATTTGGAGCCGTGAATGGGCAGATCTGTTTCTGGCCTGGCATCACTGAGTTTTTCCCATGCATTCGCCCTCGAGCTTCTCAGATGTGAGACAAATCTCCCTGCAATAGGCTTGCTGCCATTGTCTGTACAGTTTAATAGATGCTGGCATGTTGGAGGTTACCCATGAGTCTGCGAAATCCGCTTTCCATGCTTACTCTTGACACCCCCATTGAAGCCACTCATTGTGTATGCATCTGGGTATGAAAGTCCAGCTCAGTGTGGTCCTGTGCTTGTACTGCCCTGCTTTGCAGTTTCTTTGCACTTATTCATTGAGTGCTGTTTTTGAAATGCTTACAATATATGAATCTAAAAATGTTTAAAAAAAAAAAGAACCCTGCCCCTAAGATCTGTATTTGTATATACACGTGTCCGTACAATTATACTTAAATAAAATTAAAGATTTTCATCATTTTAATTGGTTCTCTTAGGCTATATTTTTGTTCATTTAATTATGTCTTTATTTTGGGGGCTCTTTGTACCTATCTTCTATTTTTGTGGGCAGTGGAAAGCAATGAGGAGTATGAATGGGAAAGTGTGAAGAATGCAGTGGACACAATGGCTGACTACCTAGGGCTGTAACTACCTACATGCTGGCTGATCTGAACTCTGGCAGCTGTGCTCTTCACTTCTGTGTGTGTGTGTGTGTGCGTGTGCGTGTGTTCATAGCTCTTCCAAATACTTAAGAGAATAAGGAACTATGCTAGTCTGGAGCATTACTTGGTTTCCATTGTTACTTCTGACATGCTCTGGGCCTTCAAAGCAATATTGTCCCTCTTGTGGGTTACAGTTTGTATGGCCTAACTCTTGCTTCCTGAGGAATAGAGGCAGCCCTAGGTGTGTGCACACAGTGTAATTGCACATGGTGCACATCTACCCTGCACTCCCCTCTGACCAAGAGATGTGGCTGGAAGTGGTTTGAAATCTTAACTGTGTCATTAGTCACAAAAGGGAGGAAAAGGGCTGAGAGTGGCAGAAGGTCCACGGATGGGAGAATCTGAGCAATGGTTCTAGAAGGAATGAAGTGCTGGTGCTGGATATTTCTTCTTCCTTTCATCTGTGTTCCCTGGGGCTGATGTAGTGCCTCAGAAATGTGCAAGACTGGACTGGGCATGACTTGTATGTAGGTCTGAAATGTGTGTCCTTGGCAGTGCGTTTTAACTAATCATGTGATAGATACAGTGGTTTAACCTGAGAATTTAGGTCATAGAAGATGGGGGACACATACCGAAACCCATAATACATTCACCCTGCATTCAGAAATTCACTGTAATTATAACTTGTTAGCATTAAACTCACCAAAAGCTTTGTATTACATTTAATTAGTTGACAGAGCAGTAAGTACTAATTATGACTTATTCTAACCTTCTTTATAGATGAGAAGTGACAGCTTGGTGAGAGTAAAAGTGTGTGACTTTTTCCTCTGGAGCTGTGATGTTACAACCAGGGCAGGGTTATAAGTGACACGTGTTCAGTATATCTTGACATAATAGCCATGTCCAGAAAATATCCTGCAGCCTGACACACTTAATGGCCTTTGCTCAGAAGACAATCTGCGTTTGCTGAAAATGGTATTTGATTTCATTTTTTGGCATTAGTGTGAACAATAGGACTTTGTGCTCTCTCATCTTTCCGTCCACAGAATAATTCTGCTCACAGAGTACTTCTGAGGGCATTCTTAGGAATATTCAGGGGTGCATCATACCACTAAGATATGGTTGTGTGCCAAAGCAGTTTTACTCGTTCAAAACAATGCTTTGATTTCTATCAGTTAGAGATGGGTAGCCAACTGGGATGGTTAAAATTTTACAGGCTTTGAAAGCAGAGGACTGAAAAGTGCCTCCTTCCTTGTAAATTATTGGTGGTTTTTTGTTTGTTTGTTTTATTTTGTTGGTTTGTGGGTTTTTTTTGTTTTTTTGGGGGGGTTTTTTTGTTTTTTTTTTTTTGTTTGTTTGTTTGTTTGTTTTTTAAGTTAGTAGAAAGTTTCGTTGGAAACATGATTTAACTTTGTATTACAAATGTGGGCCTAAGAGACCAATCAAGACTCAGTCATTGTAAAGGCTGCAATACAGACTGTTCCTGTACAAGGCAGTGGCTCATGATTGTTTGGTTTTAGCATCACTTTCATTGGATGCAGTAAATCAACACGAGCTGACGTAGTTGCAATTTAAAGGTACTGTAAATTTTTTTCCTAGACCTGGTAGGAGCTTTTAAAACAAAATATTTCTTAGATGCAAAAAAAAAAAAAAAATCCTTTCAAGAAAAATCAAAGTACTGCAGAAATACAGACAAGATAAAGCTTTTATTTCTGTTGTTTTCCTCCCATCTCTGATAAAACTGTGAGGCAAGTTATACTGTCAGTCATACTTAATTCAGAGGAATTCAGAAAAGGACAAATCTTACAGACACTCACTTTTCTTGTGACAGTTCTTCCAGCAAGTCCTCCTGTCACATGTTTACTTGATGACTACAAATACAAGAAATTTCAAGGAGGCAAGCTAGATATCTACTTTGAAGGAAAGAAAAAGCATATTCCCTTTTTTTTTCCCCTCGAACTTTAAAAAAGTGCACACTATGTTCAAGATCAGGCTTATTAGGTGATTTCTAATTAAGTTTGAAAAGACCATCCAGTCCAACCATCCACCCATCACCAATATTTCCCAGTAAACCACGTCTCTCAACATCTTGAGCGCCTCCAGGCTCAGTGACTCCACCACCTCCCTGCGCAGCACATTCCAGTGCTTGACCACCCTTTTGGATAAGTTTTACTTAATGTCCAACTGGACTCTCCCGTGGCACACCTTGAGGCCTATTGCTAGTTAAGTGGGAGAAGAGGGCTATCCCCACCTTGCCTTGCCAGATCCTCTTTTCAGGTAGTTGTAGAGAGCTATAAGGTCTCCCCTGAGCCTCACCCTCTCTAGGCTGAACAATCGCAGCTCCCTCAACCACTCCTGGCTCGTGTGGTCTGTGCTCCAAACCCCTCACCAGCTTCACTGCCCTTCTCTGAAGATGCTCTAGGGCCTCACCATCTTTCCTGAAGTGAAGGGCCCAAAACTGAGCACAGTACTCAAGACGCAGCCTCACCATGGCTGAGGGAGTGCTTATTCCCCCTGTAATACAGCTCTGAAGTAAAGAAAAGAAGGTTTCTCTTTGTATGCATGCAATCTTATTCTTTCGTTTCCCATGTTTAGAGCACGTTCTAAGTGCTGCTTCAAGATATGCACTTGCTCACCTAGCAATATGTATTTTCCAGTAGCAATTTTTACATTTTTAAACATTTCTTTATCCACAGATAAAACTGCTGTTAGCAAAAAAGTTTCTGTCTGGATGGTGTTCGTTAAAGTAAAGGCCTAGTAAATTAATAGGATATTATAGATAGAAATATAGCTGGTTACTTCTATTGCAGAGAACTAATCACTCCTCTTACTCTCCTGCACTTGCTGTATCTTCACTAAAGATAACTTCAGCTAACCACTGACAACTTAGCCCAAAAAGTTTAGGAAGAAGGATTACATTTGAATTTATTTATTTCTCTGTTTGATTGCTTATTTTTTTTATTTTTACCTATGACAAAGGAAAAAAAAAATCTAGATATGATGCAACAAAGCAAAGCATCAGAGCATCAACACTGATATACTGAAGTTCTCTTCCTTCTATAGGAGGGAACTGGGATGAAGCAGAGGGCTACATAGTGGAAACAGCTCACTGTCATCCTGCAGCACCAGTCCTTGCCTGAAGGTTGGATGAATCAGACCCTTGGCTGAGTGTGAGGGCTTTAGCAGAAACTTGGCAGACTGCTCTCCCATTGTATATCTCAGTACTTCCCTTTGCTGCAAAGGGGATGGAGAATGGGCAAGTAGCAAGGAAGGCAGAGCTCGTTCAGTGACCGACAGCTGAGCAGCTGCAGTGTATATAGCAAGTATATTGCAGACTTTAAGCCAAGGAAAGTGGCAGCTGGTGCAAACTGTTCATGAGTAAAGGTCCTACTTGTTGGTTGAAAATAGTAAAAACATTAAGTGGAAAACATGCAAGGTGCCAGGCTGTGCCCTCACTAAGCAGTTCTGCAAACAAGTACTGTCCTCATGAAAATAAGGGAAAGATTTATCTTTCTGTTAGGCCAATACTGAACACTTTTCAAAAGCTGCTACCATTTAAAAACACTGAGTTCACCTGACCATTCCTAAATGGAAAAAGCTTGACATCTTGTGCTCTTCATGTCTCCTCCTGGCTGCACCTGGAGCCGGTGAGATTTTGCAGAATCAGGCCTTTGTGTGAGGTCTCCTGCAGCTGCTGAGCGCTGTATGTAGCAAATACTTCAGTGGCTGTTTTCAAGGTTGGAGAGTAGCTTTCTTTTTTGTTTGCTAGTTTTATCATTGCTGTCAGAAAGATCTCGAAGCTGAATTAGGAGTATGGTGCATAATGTGATTATCAGGAGGCAGGATGCAGCTTATTTAGAAAGGCTGTTGCTCTTCCTTAAAAAGTGAATGAACAAGCATGGATCATGCGTGATGTTAATGGTTAGACATCAAATGTAACAAACCCTTGCAGTGATGCTTATCAGGCTTTCTACATTAGTTTTACAATATCTCGGTTCCTGCACATACTTGCATTACAAAAGGCCTTGTGTTCCCCTCACAAGGAAGCCAGAACAAGCGTGCATATCATCCTTCCTACTGAACAAGTGCCCCTTTTGTCATTGCTTATTTAATTAGTAATTCTGCATTTATTTGCAGGTAAAAAAAGAAAAAGAACTGCGCATACTTCCTGTACTGTGGTTTCATTAGCTGGGTTTCCTCAAAACTCTTGTACTCCAGAGAAATTTTGCCAAGTGGCTAAATGAAATGCACACAGTATGAATATATATGATGTTTTAATGATGGGATTTTTGCATCCATGAATAATACAGATTTTAACAAGAACCGGTAACTGCACAAAACAGTAAAGTGGTTAATATAACAACCTCTCATTGCTGGAACTCCATTGATAACAGCAGGCAGTGCATGCCTCCCTCCTGCTTTCCTTCCTCTTTCTGTAGCACCAAAATTAGTCTGATAGGTCATGCAGATTTTCCAGATAGCTTTTGAAGGCAGGTGCTTTATCTATACACTGTACTACAGCCACATCCTATGAGTTTCATTTGAGGAAGCTCAAGGTTTTTGAATAAAAATGGACCTTCACATTTTGAACACAGCCTTTGTTTCCCATGCTCTCTAGCAGTGTTCGCATCCAAATTTAAAACTGTCACTTCGCTTTCTCTCTTCAGGAGCGACAGACTGAGAGTGTTTACAAGAAAGTTGTGGACTCCAAGAGGTTTGATGTACACAAGTCAAAGCAACGTGATCTTTATGGGCTGAGGCAGAGTAGGGTAATCCTTCCTCCCTGCTCCAGCCAGATAGTGTTGAAGGGAGATTGCTTCTA